CAACAATGTCGATAACACAACAGTAGCTCGAGAGAACACCAATGTCCTCCCTCCTCTTCCTCTTCTCCTGTCTTCTTCGTGTCGCTCCATCGTTAATGTAACTCTATTATTCGTTGAAATGACGTCAAAATTACTCCAGCGGCATCTTCTCCTCCTTCCAGCATGCGTGCCCCCTGCCTTCGAAATCATTCCACCAGGAGACAGACGATTGAACGCCACCTTCTGCGAAATAGTCATCTCTCTCTCTATATATATATACAAGTAAGTAATTAAATATATGAAGAGTGGGAACGATCCTCCCTCCCTCCCTCCCTCCCTCCCTCCCTTTGTTCTTTTTTTCGTCCTCTGCTCTCTGTCAGCTCCAATGTGTTTTCTGTCTCCAGGGGCAACAGGGAGGCGGCGGTGGTCGTGGGGCTCCGAAGTGAATAAACACGGAAAAAGATAACAAATAAATAAATAATAAACAGGCAGTAGGACTGCAATAGTGATGGCGATACAAGTAAGGGGCTGCCACACTCCTACAGATCTGAAACAACAACAACCAAAAGAAAAGGAAGGAAGGGACACGCCGGGGCCGTCGAAAAAAAAAAAAAAGAGTGGGACAACAAACGAGGGTCGGGCAAACACCGAAAAGCGGAAGCGGCACTCGACTCGTGTTATCACCCAACCCCCCAACCCACCCCCTTCTCTCTCTCTCTCTCTCTTATCAATGTATGCGCTAATGTACCGACCTTGCCGTGTCCCCTTCTCCTCCACGGATCGCTCTGTCTTCTGATTGCAGAGGTGGCGAAGTTATCAGGACTGGCTGCCGTCTACACGTGGAACGCTTCCCCTCCCCCCACACCCTTCTTTGTTTTGTTTGCCGATTTATCTGTTTTCCAATTCCAACTTCTTTCGCTCCCTTTTTTTTTTATTTTTTGTTTGCGTTGTGTCTCCGCCCCCTTTCCGTGTATGATTTTGTCGTCTCTCCCTGCAGGGCGTATGAATACGGTGCTGCGGGCCCTGCTCTTCCAACCTCACACACACACACACACAAGCCAAATAATTGAGTTTCTCAACTGAGACGAGACGAGGCTGGGCGTCGGCCTCTCGTTATGCCTGCTTGTATAATATAATATAATGTATGCTATATATGTATATATATTTGTCTATCTATATATCTATATATGTATGTATGTTCAATATAAATGCCCTTTACTGCTGCGGTGAATGAAAAGGAAGATGAGGCAACAAAACAACGACAAGAAAAGAATTGTAACACAACACACATGCATGCGTCAAAGGCAGCACCAACGTCATTACATCCAGACATCGACACACACACACACACACACACACATACAGAGAGAGAGAGAGAGAAAGCTTGCCACTCGCAGAGACAAAAAAAAAAAAAAGAGAGAGAGAGAACGACAGAGCCATGCGTCCAAACCGCCTTCTCTTCTCCTCCTCTCTCTGGATCTGCCTGCCTTTTTCTTCACCTC